TCAAGGCCCGATTTCACTATACTGAGTATAGCGCACCCACACGACTACTTCGAACTATCAATATTTCCTTCAAGACTAGATATTTTTTAACATACTTTCTTTTTAATTTGAACGTCAAAGTGTCAGAAATGTGTCGTAAATTATGATTGAAGTTTTATAAAGAAAGTTAATTTTGCAAAAAGGTCGAATAGAAGTTTCCTTAAGCACGAAAAGGCTATTTGAAAATTTACAGTTTTTTTCGTAACGTCGAATTGCATAAAACCAATATTACCATTTGTAGAAGATCAAGGATGTAACTTTCCAGAGAGAAATGTGAAGCAATGATTACAAATGAAGATACGTTGTCTCTCGACATGAAGAATTTTAACGTGAAGGCTGATTACGGCGGTAATCTCCTGCATCTGCTGAACAGCAGATGGGACGACTGTGCGACACGGGCAGCTGTAGAGGGAAAACAGAAGTTCTTTTTTCCCTCCTCCGACCCCTTATCCTTCATTATATAGAAGCGGCGGGCAATGGCATGGGCGTGGTGCGCCCAAACGTGGTGTTCTAGGGTTAATTGCCGCCGACACGGCGCCTACGCGCGCTAATCGTGCGTAATGCCGCCGGTTAACACATTGTTGTTAACGCACATTCCGCATTCGCAGTGATTCAACAATTTAATATACAGGTGTGTGCAGAGATAGTGATCGCATGCTGACTACACATGTGTATGCATTACACTCCTACTCTCACTGTGGGGGTGCGATTGCGCTACGGTGCTTGTGTGTGCCTCGGGGAAATGCGTATCGAGTGCAGCGCGAATCAAACACATTGGGATCCGACACGAGAGGGACATACCGACGAAATTTTCATCGGTAACGCGTTCTCCGAAATAGTTCCGCGAGCGCGGAACTAAAAAAAAATGTTTGAAAAAGATGGAAAACCGGACGACCCAAAAGCGTCGTTCGTCCGAAGTTTCTTACGCAATTCGAAAAATAGCAAAAACCCCAGAAGTGTGGTCGCGGAGTTTCTCTCTCGAGTTTCAAGAAATTCCACGGCGTACTCAGGGCGCAAAGGGTTGAAAGGGGATCGACCGGTTCTTCGAAGTTCCTGCGTTGCCTCGAACGCGAAGTAAACGCGCGACGGTATCGATATCGAGGCGGAACTACTACCCTCGGTGGCGCTGCGTGAAGCACAACTTCTGAACTGCGAGCCGCTGTTTAGGTCGAAAGCGCGGCGGCAGAGTGATTCCGGGGCCAGGAACACGCGGCCGCGCGCTAATCGCGGCGTACCGAGGTGAGGTTGAAAAAAGTCACGGTGCCGGGAGCGCTAAGCGTGCCATTAGATCGGATAACATGTGGCCCTCGGCGCGATACAAGCTTGCATGCGCTTAACTGCACCTGCGGCGCAATCGCGCGAGATCGACCTGCTCGCCTACCTGTGCTCGCCTCCTACCTGCCGACCGACCGACGCGGCGCGGCTGCACGCACGCCGATAAAAAGCTCTCGGGCCTCGCGAAATATGTATCAGCGCTTACACCCGGGAGATATTTCGGTCGTTATCGGGCGAAAGAGTTACAGCGGCAAGAGCTGCCGGTGTAATTCACGCGGCGAGGCCGCATTCGACCCGCCCCAGCAGTGTTGCAGCAGTGTGCCCGTTCTTATGGACAAAAATCGCTATTTGTAATTTATTCACGATATCAATCTTACATACATTATATACGGAAAACAATGTTTTCCTTACGGTCACTGGCTAAATTTGGAATAATCAAGACAGTGGAGGGAGTATATCGATTGTGGTAAAAGTGATACAATAATTTACTGTAAAGCATACACGGAAAAATTTGCTGCAGCAGCAAACTAATTTGCTATATATGGACAGTTAAACATAATTCGCTGCGTTAGCTACTTTTTCTTTGCTGCAGGAACCTATTTCTTTGGTATAATAACAAGAAAATCTGCTCGTACAGCAAGAAAAATGGCTAACACAGCAAATTTGCTACAGATGGACAACTAAATATAATTTACTACTTTAGCTACTTTTTTTGTTGCAGGAGCAGATTTTCTTGTTATCCTAGCAAGGAAATTGGTTGCAGCAAAGAAAAAGTAGTTAACACAGTGAATTATATTTAGTTGTCCATATCTTTTTCCGTGCATGAACCTTTAATATAGGTGCGATTTTATTCACATGATAGTCGTTCTTTTGATTTCCTCTAATTTCTGAAACTGTCAGGTCGATATTTGATAACAAATTTGTGCTTTTATCATATTTCAGACACTTTTGGTTGGCAAGAAGAAAACTTCTATGTTACATTTCATGAAACGACTTTTCTCCATGAAAACAGGCTCTTTGCAACACTGTGCGCTCGCTCGATACGCCGACTCGCGATTCACGAATCCGCATCGATACATCGGAAGCAGACCAGAGCGCGTCCGATACCCCCCAGCTGGAACTTTTCTCTCTTCCCCTAGCGAGAAATTTATCAAAGACCCCGTTGTCGCTGCGACCGATATCGTCGCTTCCGCAGCGAAGTAACGAAGTTCGCGAAGGTAAAGACACACAGAGAAATTTCACGTGCGTTCGCAATAACGTCCCGACGAGAATGACTTACCCGCAACTGATTGAGTTTAATTACTGATTTGTCGATTTTATTGCGGCAAAAGTAAATTCTAATCGATTAATGCCCGACGTTGGTCAAAAAACGAATCGAAAGTCGCTTCGCGACAAACTCCAGTCACGCTGAGGGAAAAATATCTAAAAAATGGAAAATATTTATTCGGTGGGCAATAAAAATGTATAATTAAACTTGTTTTTGATTCCCCGAGTTATGGCTTTCGTGCTTCATTTAAATTAAATTACTCATTTTTTCTCTAATTATAATATATAATACGGCTCTACATGCGGTTGTATCTTGTAAAACGTACCAAAGGGAACTTTTTTGCCGTGAAAATTAAAACATATATTTATTTATTTATTTATTTATTTATTTAAACTAATATACATACTTGCATATCGAGAAAAAAATTGTTTGAAATAAAAAAAACTGTACATTTTCTAAAGAGCATAGTTCTTCATGAAGACAATTGTCTGTTCGATTTGAGTAAAATAATTTTGACTCGTGCAAACTTATGTTATCGATACCCAACGAGTAAATGTCTCTGTATTTTTTTAGACACCGTTCCTCTTGGTGCAGGCAATTTTGTGTACGCACACGCACGCGCGCGATGGTAATTAATTCGGCGGCGCAGCCCACGCGTCAGCCACGGCATATATATATATATATATCTCTCTCTCTCTCCCTCTCCCGTCCGCTTTGCCGTCCCGAAATTGTACTGGCGTCCAATTTCGAGAATCGTGCATCGCGCGCCGCCATGTAATCGAGCCACCGCGGCGGCGTAAGGAGAGAATACGCGAGAGAGCACACGTATATCGCACAAATATATGTGCCGGGCTTGCGGCACAGACGACGCGCTCGCGCGACACGGAGAAACGACGGCGAATATGTACAAGCGTCGCGCGAGGGATGTAAAACGGCGGGGTGAAGGAGAGAAAGGGGGGAGAGAGGGGGAACGGCGAGCAAACGAGAAACGGAGAAATGCGATTAAGCGACAGTCAGCGGGTACATTGCGTGTCCCGATCTCCGGCGATGTGCGCGATTGCCACGCGCGCGGCTCTCCCTCCCCCTCTGCGCTTTATCAACGACAATGTTCTCCCCGCCCCCGCGTCGTCCCCCTTCGGTCGTCGATCCACTGCAAATTGCACTCTCGGAATTAGCGACGCACGGTTATCTCGGCACCGCGTTGCAGGCGGCGGTCAGTCGCGCGATTCGCGCTCGCGGAAATCAGTCGATCGAGAATCTACTGTCGCCGCGACGATTCGCGAATTACTCGTTACTTTCATCGACTCATGATCCTCATGACTCTTTTGGCCTACACATAAAAAAAAAATAGAAAATAATAAGATATAAGAAAAGAGGAAAAAATATGACACGAGGAAAAAAGAAAATAAAAATAAAATTGCAATAGACAGAGAAAAAGAAAAAAGGGAAAAATTTATTAGAGTAAAACTTGAGCAAAAATTCGAATCAACACGGAGAAAAATAATTTGCTCGCCCAGCAAATTTTCTGCTGGTCTAGAAAAATCTTTTCGTTATTATATGGACAGCAAAAAGATTTGCTAAGAGTACTAATCGCTATTTGTTGGATATAATTTGCTGAATCTACAAGTTATTTTGCTATAAGAACCATGATGGATTTATATAAGCAGTTTACTCCGATAACAAATAAATTTGCTAAGAATACATTATTTTATATCAATAACAAATTAACGTGATTCTTAGGACAAATACATTCAACAAATTTTTTTATCCTACGCAACGAAACTACTTCTGCTCTGATAACGAATAATTTGTAAAATTAGTTACGTCAAATAAATTTTTTTGATATCACTACGAATATGCAGCAGCAACGACAATTTTGCTAAAATAGCAAAATTACTTTTCTCCATGAAGCATCTCGCAGCTATAATCAGTTAAATTCACCACTAAAAAAGTCACTTAACTCGCGTTTCCCGTATCCGCGAGCATTCGCAATTGTTGAAATGTTCGTCGATTATATCTCGCTGCGGGTGCAACCGATCGAGCACCGGAGTACTCGTAAACGGGGAACACTATCGGAGATTTGCGGGTATAATTGTCGTTATATCGCAGCGCGCCCAACGAGCGGAGAATCAAGCACCGGCCGTGCGCCATTTCTCGTTCCGTCATCGCCGTTCCACTTTCAATCGCGTCTCCTCACGGAGAGACGCGACGATCCCTCTTGGCAATCGCGCGAATGGGATAAGTGGGTTAAAGCCTCTAAAGCGTGACATAGGCACCGTCGGTGAGATCGGCCGATGTGTGCGAGTGCCTTGCGAGCGATATTTATACGATAATACATATATGTATGTGTAATGTGCGTGGACGTGCGTGTATATATACATATATGTAGTGTATATATATATATGTACAAATAAAATACCTAGGCGAACGCCACTTCGCGTTAAGATGTCGCCACCCCGAGCCGGGACTGCCGTACTGCAACAGACACCCGAAACACTGTCATCATATGCGTTTAGCAACAGAAAGAGAAGAAGGCTCTTTACCGATTCGGTGATGCATGCCGGTAAAGAGAGCGTTGCGAGAAAACAGAAACGCTCACACGATTCAAACAACACGCCCGATCTGTCGAGCGCGAGAAGTGCACCGTTCTGTGCGAATTTCGCACGAAGCCGCGGCTTTGCCTTTTCGTGCGCTCGGGGGAGGGAAAGGGAAAATCGTCCGTCCCTCAGATACCGAGCGCGAAATTATCTCGGCGATTTTTCGCGAGTATTTCCCGCGAGTGTTTTTCACGAGAGTCATTACGGCGGCGCTGGCCGTTCTCTTCCGCGCGGAAGTTATCCTAACTGTAAATTGCCGGACGATCGTTCGCCCGCTTTTCCGCAACGAGAGAACAGGAACGAGAAGGGAGGAGGGAGAAGACAAAAAGAGAGTCTCGCAATCTTCGCGAGATACGATCGTCGGACAATTTTCAGTTGATCCGCGGCGACGAGTGGCGGCGAGCGCGCGCAGGCGATCGATCGCTTGTCGTTGGCGAGCAGAAAGCACATTACACGATTAAAAGGACGTACTGCGAAACGCGCGGCCACGTTGCAATCGCGTAATCCGCCTCGTAAAATAGTAATCCCGGCCGCGTGGCGAGAATAGCGCGAGAGCGAGCGAGCGAGCCGGAGACGTAAAACATCCTCGCGGATCACTGAGCGCGCGTCGCTTTTTAATTGTCTTTCGTTCTCGCGCCGGTTTCGCCAAATTGTTTCGCCCTATCGAGCGCACCGGCAGATTCCATCGGCGCCGGCCGGCGCCGCAATTTTCTTTTTACGTCGCTCGCGATTAAACCAGCGTCGATTTTATCAGTCGCGGCCGTTATCAAATCGGAAATTCGATTCGGACTCTAAAAAAGATGTATACATATTTTTTTTAGTTTGAATTGAATTTCCGGCTTGATAATTTATTTCATCAAAATATATTGGAATTTTGAAAGAGCGAGAGAGAAAATTTCGACACACACACACACGTGTGTGTGTGTGTGTGTGTGTGTGTGTGTGTGTGTGTGTGTGTGTGTGTGTGTGTGTGTGTGTGTGTGTGTGTGTGTGTGTGTGTGTGTGTGTGTGTGTGTGTGTGCAGGGTGTCTCAGACCTCCATGATGACCTTTTGTCAGAACATAGAACGGATTGAATATGGTAGATGAGCTGCAGTGGCGCCGTCTACTGTTGTATACATTAAGTCAAACTGAACAAAAAAGTCTTATACCATTTTGTAAATGGCCACATAGATTTTTAGATATTAATTAAAGAAAATTTGTGCATTATGGTACACAATCATATATGTAACAATTTTCTTTAACATATACATAAACACATAGATAGTTCCTTTAATTATTAATTAAAGGAGATTATTGTACGATTTTACGTGATAATGCACTCATCTTCTTTAATTAATAATTAAAAATCTATGTGATTATTTGCAAAATAGTAGAGGATTTTTTTGTTCAATTTGACCTAAAGTATAAGTACACGACGGCAGTCGTCGCTACTATAACTCATTTATCATATTCTGCATGATCATTCACAAATTTTCTACAATTAATATCTCGATAATTATTGCGAATACCTAAAAACGGTACAGGACTCACCGCAGCCTGTTCTACGTTCCCACAAAATACCCGGAGGAGAGTGTGAGACACCCTGTATATATATGCATGTATATGTATGTATGTATGGATATATACACATAGAAATTTTTTCTTTCGTTACTTTCAAATTCCGTTATTTTGCGATAATCGCGAAGAGAAGGAACCTTTTATTTAACACGTTATGTGGTGAGAGAATATGTCTTTTTTATATAAATTCTTTTCAATATTTTATTATATTTCTAATGAGAACTGACTGTCAATAAATTTCGTCAGAAACTTAGTAAAGCTTTTAATAGTGTATTTCAGTCTCTACAATAGGTCTATTCTTTTTAGCTGAACTGTCTAACCTGGTGCACACTGATGCAATAAATTAGAGCGATACAAATATATCTCTCTCTGATTCATAGACAGTTCAGGAAATTCAACTAAAAAAGACAGATCTATTCTATCTTAAAGTGAATCAGTGAATAAACACTGATATCAGTTGAGTATAGCACTGAGTACTTTCGGTGCTATACTTATAACTGCAATTAGTGTATATTCAGTGTTTTCAGTGATGTTTGACTGATTCATTTTAAGAGAGTTTGTCGAACCACAAAATCTTGTGTAGCGATTCTTGCTAAAAATTCCTCTCCGTGGGACGTTCATTAAGACATGTGCGATTCGATCCAGAGCACGCGCGAAACGACACGACGATGGTAACGGGTCAAAAAAGGCATCGCATTTCGGCGTTTCCAGTGTATTCCTCTGTGCACTTCTCGCGCTCGCATTTCGGCCGAGCGATGCGGCATGCCTCGAAATGCAATATGCATCAGTCTTTCGCGAGACGCTCCCGCGACCGACGTTACAAGTAGTCACGAGCCCTCTTGCATTACACAACACACACACACACACACATACATACACGGTATACGGTACGATCTTCCGCGTTTTCCCCTGCGCGAGTATCGCGCGAGGCAGGAAATTTCCATGGCTCAACCCCTCGTCCGGCGAATTATTTTCGCGGCTGGTGATCCGCCAACTCGTAATCATTTCCGCGTGTGTGTGTGTGTGTGTGTTCAGCTGACGCGCAAATTTAAAGACCGTGCAATTCATCGATAAAATAAAGCGCAATCGTCGTCGTTGTCGTCGCCTCCATCTGGTTCTATTAAATTCTTTCTCGCTATGTGCGAACTGTTACAGACGGGGACGACAAAGAAGACGACTCGAGGCGCAGTCGCGTCCAAAGGATTTAATATGCGTTAGGAACGTAACGTAGCGGCGGACTCGCGAGGAGCGGCTCTATAGCGAGTCGTAAATTCTACGTCGCCGGTTAGTGGGAAATCTCCATGAGACTGGCAAAGACAGACACAACGGCGCGCGCCGCTTGTTAGTCATCAGACAGATGCGGGAATCATTAATCTAACGCACGTGTTCGCCAAGTGTGCACGAACGAGTGAGCGAGCGAGTGAGTGAGTGAGCGAGCGAGTGAGCGAGCAGTTTCGCGTTCTCGAGGATGTAATTTTAGCGTGCGTCGCGCGCGCGACGGAGAAAAATCGCGCGAGCGACGAAAAACCGCGACGAGGCGAGAAATCTCTCGCGGGAGAAAAAGACGAGAGGCAAAACTCGCTCCGTCGTTCTCGACAACGCAAACATCCACAAGTCTACCGAGCTTTTATCGGCTAAACAGCATCGACAAACGCTCGCGATTTCGTTGACACGCAGCATTGTGTGACAGCCGCGGCAGCCACTTCGCACGATTTCAATCTGAGTGATTCGCGCGGGGCTGCACGCAGAAGAAAGTGAATGTAAGTAATTTTCAAATATGCGCACGGAGAAAAATAATTTGCTGGCCCAGCAAATTTTCTGCTGGTCTAGCAAAATCTCTTCGTTATTGTATGGACAGCAAAAAGATTTGTTAAGAGTACTAATCACTATTTGCTGGATATAATTTGCAGAATCTACAAATTATTACGCTGTAAGAACCATGATGGATTTATATAAGCAGTTGCAGTTTTGCTCCGATAGCAAATAAATTTGCTAAGGATACATTATTTTGTATCAATAGCAAATTAGCGTGATTCTTAGAACAAATACGCTCAACAAATTTTTTTCTATCCTGGCAACGAAACTACTTCTGCTCTGATAACGGATAATTTGTAAAATTAGTTACGTCAACTAAATCTTTTTGATGTCACTACGAATATGCAGTGGCAACGACGATTTTACTAAAAGAATAAAATTATTTTCTCCATGTATGTTGCTCGTTTCAAAATCAAAATAACACAGGGCCTATAAGAGCCAAGCATACACGGAAAAAAGATTTGCTAATATATGGACAACTAAAATATTAATATATATATATATATATATATATATATATATATATTATATATGTATATTTTATATATATATATATATATATTTAATTATTATATTTATATATATATATATTTTTTTTTAATATAAAATACTAATATAAAATATTAATATATATATTAGCAAATCTTTTAGCTATCACAATTACATAACTTTTACTATGAAAGCAAGAAAATTTATTCCTGCAGTTAATATTTTTAGTTGTCCATATATTAGCAAATCTCTTTTTTCCGTGTAGGAAGAAAATATGCAAAAATTTATGAAAAATTGCCTTCAATATAGGGGCAATTAATTATATTGTAAACGTTTCGGCTCACGATTTGAATTATCTTCAGTACATCCTACATCGTAAATATGTACTGTTATTTTGATTTTTCATCTTAGAGCCTTTTTATTTATTTTTTTGTTTGTTTCAAGTCTCTGCATATCCGCAAATCTGTTATATTTAGAGAAAAAATATCCAAAAGTTAGTAAACGCTCATTTGATGGGTACTAACGGCGTATTTACTTAAATCTAGATCCTCTTACTTCAGTAGAATAAATAACTGTTCTCATGAAAAGATTTTCTTAAGGTTGCAAAAATGCAAATTTTCCGATTTGAAAAAATATTTTGTGTATTTGAAGATAAAAATATACGCTGTTAGCAGTCACCGAGTAAATATTTAATTGCGTGAATTAATTTGCGTGTCGTCCGACGTGATGTGAAATATGAACGAAATTCATAGGATCGTTTTCAAAGCGATCCCTCGATTCGGTGCGAGCGACGACGAACGAGCAGCGGTTATTATCGGCTGCGAAAAATCAGTCGGCCAGACGAGAATGCGTAATTCCCTCTAATGGCGGGACGTGACAAATCACTAGCGCGGGGCGAAATAAATACACGATTTACTTTCACATGAAATCCGACGTGATGCGATCTTCAAAGATATGAGTTACGAGAGAGAGACTCTCCTCCCCTCGCTCCCATAAATCCCGAGCGCGATATAAC